GGCATTGACTTTGCACATAGAGAGTTGATTTTATGTCATGTTCTGTAACAAGGTGCTTACTAGGTTTCATGAATTGCCTTATGACTCATGGCTGCATGCAAAAGCTGCCCTCGTTCGTATGTGTGGGCAATGCATGCATCATTTCCAAATGTTTATTATTTTTAAAAGCACTGCATGTACAGAAAAATACCTGGTGATCCTTCCACAAATCCAGTGAGCTCTTAATTTCCTGTAGTTAGTTGATAACACTGCCTCTGATATTCCCAAGTATTGTTGTCAACCCTGCCTGGTTCTTTACTGCTGGACTAGAGAATTATGCCTACCCCTGCCTCCCTCTGTCACTCTCAACACATATACATTGATTAGTTTCTAAAGAAAATGGTAATGCCACTTTGACTATAAGGCCTCATGCACACAGGATGTTTAAATTCCTATCTTTAAATGCCCCTTAGGGTTAACCTATGTGTACATGTGTATATATAGGTTTTTACAGGTGTTGAGTCAGGAAAAAACCCAAGGCCAACTCATTCAGAAGAAGAGCACTCCAATGTCAATAAACATTTGATGTGCCTAAATGCGTGTAAACACTTTTTTTTGCTTGCGTGTTCATTCATTCCAATGGCCAGAATACATTGTGCCTAAACACATTTTCAAAACATGGCTTTAGACATGTTTATAAAGCTGCATTGATGCTTTTGATGCCCAAATCAAACAGCAACTGGAACTGATAATTGAAAACGTCAGTGAGAAAAAAAATTCTGTCGGGCAAACAGACTTTTCATATTTCAACGTACCCTGTAAAAATGAAAGGGAGATAATTATTTTTTTCAAATTCTTACATTAGCAAACATTGCATTGTTAGTTGCAAAAAATGTTTTACTTAAATTTTCACCTATAGTAGGAGCTTTTTACCTATGTTTGAATATACCTTTCTGTGAAACAATTTGACATCAAAGTCCACCAAGCCTAGAGTCAGATTTGGACAAAGAAAGTAAAGGTAAATAAGCAGGTGCGGACTGACAACTCATGGGGCCCCCGGGCAATAGGGGATCATGGGGCCCCTGTGTCCTTGCCCAAACTCAAAAAAGCCTATGAAAAAGGTACCAGGGACATCTCATGGGGCCCCCTACTGACACCGGGCCCTCGGGCAGTGCCCGAGTTTCCAAATGGTCAGTCCGGCCCTGTAAATAAGGGAGGAAATATAAATATTTAATTAAAGAGGATCTTAACTACATCCCCCCCGTACCTGTTATGCTGGGTAAAATCAAAACACACTCACTTGTTCAGCAGATCCAGTATTGTCCTGCAGTGGTCTGCTGTTCTGTGTCCTACGCTGCCATATTGGTCCTTTTGGGTTCAAGCAGCCTGGCCCCCAATGACGTGGCAGCTCCGATTGCGGGTGTTCTGTGAATAGGCTTCCACAGTCTCCTTGGATATGTGACAGGACTTTCCTAGGAGGCTGGGGGAGGCCCAAATGGCAGCAATGAGTAAGGCCTTCATTAAAAAAAAATGATACTGTACAACAATTGCACAAACTATCTACGTCAGACTGGTACCTCTCCCGCATCCTCACACATCCTATCCTCTCCCGCCTCCACTTTCCCCCCTTTTACTCTCCCCCCTGTTTAATCCCCCTCAATACCTACTACACCTCCCTACGGTTCAGTCCACCCCAAGCATACCTCTGATGTTTATGCCGCAACTATAGCTCCGACCCCAGCCAAAAGGTGGGGTAACTGTCTAATGAAGCTGTATTGTATGCATACATTCTAAACTGAACCAAATGTTTATCTCTGTTAAAAATTTTTCTTTAAAACCTTCAATAAAAATTATTGAAATTAAAAAAAAAAAAATTAAAAAATAAAAAGCCCGCCACTGAAAAAAAACTCTTATTAATATAGGGAAGGGGCAGCAGAGGCATAGATTGAAACTTAGAGACTGAGGCTATTTTAAAGTGGAACTCTCACTTCTCAATTATAATTAAGATCTAACATGTTGCCATGGGCCATGTGTTTTAATTTCTGCATGTTACCATGTCTCCACCTGAGTATGCCAGAATGCAGTTGGTCTTTACTGGTGCAATAATGCTCATTTCATATAATGTAATAAGAGCTAGCGCCAATCTCTTCACCTGTATGAGCTCTGTGGTCATGTAAGGATGAAGTAGTGAAGAAAGTGAACATCGCCATATCTTTGGGGATATAGCATTCTCCAGAAAACCATGCTACCATATTTCATTCATTTAATTCAAATAGAACAATGAAAATGACTTGAAGACTAATTTTCAGGTTTGTAGCAATATGTTACAAATAAAGAAATTTTGGCTATGTTTTCTGGGATGTCAAAATGTGGCTTTGTTTAAAGAAAAATCCCTCCACCTGCTTCAAGCACTAATATATCCCTAAGCTATAGAACTTTTAAGGTCTTGCATGTCACACTGACCCTTGATGCTGACATATCAAATGACGCTGCTCGCTCAGAAACTGCTCCCTGGCTTTCTCTCCATCGGAAATATCTTTGTCAACGTGCAAAAGATGGTTTTCTGTTTCCTCATTGCCTATTGTGTTTTCCAGTGTTTAGAGCCTTAGATGATCTGAGAGGCTGAAGCAAGTGAGAGCAGCTTCCTGAAGATGACAAAAGCTCACGAGGGACACAGACAGAAGGGGAGGATGTTATGTGCAATATCTGTATGATCGACCATTGACAAAAGATAGTGGCATATCACATCCTGTCCTTTGAAAACTCCTCTTTGAATTGTGGACACTTTTCTGCTTTGTGCCTCCAGGAGAACTTTTTGGAGGCTCTTGCACAGACACAATAAACGTGGGGCTCCAGCTGTAGGATTATAGGCTGTGCCATAAATTTCATGGTGGAGATTTTGGGAGCCTCACAAATTTCAAGCTGCTTTCTAAAGATAGTGGGGTTGGGTTTACTAAACCTGGAGAGTGCAAAATCTGGTGCAGCTCTGCATAGAAACCAATCACTTTGACAACTGCCAATTTTTTTTTTGTCAAAGCCTAACTGAACAAGCTGAAGTTAGAAGCTGATTGGCTGCCATGCATAGCTGCAGCAGATTTTGCACTCTCCAGTAAATCAACCGCAATGTTTGCACAGATGCAAAGACTGAACGCCTGTGGTTTTTTTTTTTTTTTTTTTTTTTGCTGAATTCTGCTTGTAATCTTTAGGTTTTGAGGCACTTAGACACCAAAATTTGGTACTTTATGTGAAGATATTTAGGGCCTAATGTATCAGCAATAGAAACTAGATGGTTTCTTAAATCTACAGCATGGTACTCAGATTTTGATTGTTGGTCATGGGTAATTAACTTGTTTTTAGTGTTGACATATGGGGGTTGATTTACTAAAACCGGGGTGTGCAAAATCTGATGCAGCTCTGCATAGAAACCAAACAACGTCCAGGTTTTGCCAAAGCTTCATTGAACTTAGAAGTGGAGGGGCCTTTTATTATGTGATGAAGCATGACAACTTAGTTTTATCTATCAGGTCACCATTACAAGGGTACCATAGGTAAGAGTAAGTGAGGATGTCTTGAAAAAGGGTTTGTTCACACCAGGTCTGTTAAGCTGTGGATTTCTCCATGCCATGCTCACACCATTCATGTGTAGAAATAAATATGCTATGTGCCCTGTTCACACTATACATGTGTCAGAATATGGAGCTTAATTAAAATGGTGTGAAGGAGGCCTAAAACTAAGAGAACGTGGATGTATTTCAGTTCCTGGTTTTATTTTTCAAAGCAGTATTAAAAAATTTAATCTGATCCCCTAATATAGTCAGCACATCTATTGATCACAGCAGTAACCAATGCAGACCTATGAAGTTGAGCAGAGCCTGAATGATGTCTAATTATACATATTGTATATACCTGTTATGAGAAAAATATGGAGGCTGCCACTGCTGACCTCTTGAAAATTTGTGGACTTATTTTTGATATGTGCATGCCTGGTCTGATTCAGAAGGTATGAGAAGCAGAAACCGCATGGCAACTCACCCCATCAGACGATAAGCAAGTACTGGTAGTCCACATATACTCACAACAGGTGTTGAATTTCTGAAAATACTACACTCCTGGCTTTTATGCTTTCTGAGCCAGGGCCTTGAAATAAATACACAGATTAAGTAAGTCAGAACTCCCCATCAGCAGCTTTTTTCCAGATCAGAGACTCACACACAGTTGTCAGGGGATTGGGGAGAGGCTCTGGACAAAAAAAAAAAAAAAAAAAAAAACCACACCACCACACACACCTCCCAGCACATAATTATGCAGTAGCTGTGGGTCCCCAGAAAATTTTATGGGGGCTGTCAATGCCACTTACAACCATATGAATGCCTGCAAAGTATTGCAGACAGTCTGAATGCTGTACTTAACTATTAGAGGTCAGCAATGAAAGACTCTGTTCCCAATGACGGGTTCTCCATCATTAAAAGTGTTAATTTTGTATGTACTTGCAAAGATATCCTTTCAATACAAATAATAATAGACCAACAAGACAAGAATTATTTTGCCAAACCCTCAGAAAAAAAATATCACATAGGTGGTAGATAATATCTGTAACACATATTATTCTGCAGTATGTAGGAACCAAGAGAAAATAAGCCTTTGTTTTCAGCATATTTTATTTAAAATAAAGATGCAAACATTCTATAACATAAATCATATGTACCATATAAAAACAGGGAAAGGGATATGTATGTACATTTTATGAGGTGAAAGGAAAAATGGGAGAGACATTTAGAAACTCTTCTTATTTATAAATATATACAACCAAGAGTTGCATTTGTATTTACAACACAGTAATTTACTGCAAACACTGTAAATAAAGTGCAGTTCCATAAAAAGAAACCATTCTTGCGACCCTGGGCCAGAGATGATAGCCAGAGTATCCCATGTAAACTGTTACTGAACAGAATAACATCCGAAAAGCCAACCAGCTGTCAAGCAGAGTCCTAGCTTAACGTAGTACCAAGTCCATGGGGAGTTCAATGCCTCTGACAAGTATGAAGTCTGGAGGTTTTAGGCACAGTTGTGAATTCTCCTCTCTGTAGTTTGCAGGACAACCCTGCTCCACAATGACAACGCTGGAAGATCTCCAGCCCATGCGAACCCTTTCTCCTGTGCTTGGTGCACACTTGACCTTCCTCAAGAACAGGCTTGCAGATCTTTGACCAGAAATGACGAGCACAGCACAGTCCTGGGCCACAGTCACTGGACCGAAGGCATACATCGCCATCACGACCTGGATGGGAAGAAAAGAGACATTCCACATAAGTGCTCCTGCTGGGTTATTTCAACATCTCACCACTAACCCTTCTTTCACAAAGAGCAAGCTTCCTTAACTTAACTTTTGAGAATTGGTAAATGCATGCTAGAAAGAGCTTCTATTTTGATGTAAGGTGGTCACAGCTATTTTAGGCAGCTAGTTGGGTGGAGGTGAACGGTCAGATAATACAGCAAACATAGAATGCATCATTCATTAATATTAGAACTATGCAATGCTAACTTACCTTTAAATGGTTAAAACTCCAGCTGGAGATGTAGTGAATTTGGTGTTTGTATCGACAGTAGCATGTTCACCTTGGTAGGTTTCCATGATGGTGTCCTCTTGATAACCAAGATGTGAGAAGCGGTCCTGTTCCTGTTCTACAGGCACACAGATACCTGGAAGGCAAGCAGGGCATGATTTAGCACAGTGGTGTGGAAGTGTGAGCCATTAGTGCGGGAACAATGCAGTTAATATGGAAATGATGATTACACTAGACACCTGTAAAACCCATCCCATCACAAAGCAATCACCTGGATACACTCCATACAAAGTAGGACAATACATTTTATGTGTCTTCATAATGGGGGTACTAAAGAGCTCTGACACAATAGGGGGTCCATATGGCCAGCAACACAACTTCAAATGGGGCAGTGTGTAGGACATTAGCAATTGTCATGGTAAGTGACCTTTTGGTGGGCATGTTAAAAAGCAGAAAGCCTAGTTCGTTTTCTTTGAGCTTTACACATAGTTTGTTCAAATCCTCAAAGGGAAAGCACTATACTCTGTTGTTAGGAAGAATGAGCCACTTAGATTTACAGCTACAGACAATGCATTATTCATTGGGCTCAAATCCCCTTTACATGTCAATCAGGCTGATTTGAACCTAAATTAGTGAGCTGCTGTTTTTCCTTTGAACACTAAAGTGAGCAGTTGTGTTTAGTATACAAACCTGTTTATGTTGTGACATCATGATGTGCTTCCATAACATCTATTGATTTTTAGGTGCATTTTAAGTTTGGTAAAGGAAAGTCTAATGACTTGGTGACCCATGTTCCAAAAACACTGCTCTTTTGTGAAACAAGATTAGCATTGAAATGGGTGGAAATTCTTTGCAGCTTCACCTAGACCAGGCTGAAGTTCTCTAGGCTATAGCTCTGAGTGAAGGTTTAGATGGCTGGAATGCTACTTACCATTGCTGCAGTAGTTGCCCATACAGCACATGGCATCCCGCAGGCAGCGCTTCCTACGTTTCCTGCATGCCAGGCACACCATGGAGTTCCCATTTCTGGAGCTGTGACAGAATTCATCCAGGGCGCAGTCATCATCCTCTACGCAGGAGTATAGCTAAGAGATAAAATCAGTATGTCAGTACAGAAGCCATCCACGTGTGTGCATCACTCCTATGGCAGCATTGGAGAACAGAAGTAGGGGTGGCATTGGACAACTAGGGGCTGGTTTACTAGTAGGAAATAGGCTGTTCACTTTGCAGAGAACGTTAAACTTTGCAGGTGCATTTTCCCTTTAATTAGTTAATGTGATTACACTTCACTTTGCAAAGAATACCCAAATAAATTGAAAGAAAAAAAAAAAAAAAACACCTTTTTCTTGGATGATGGTGAGCAAGGCTTAACTCAAGCTACGGGAAATTCCCTTGCAAAGCAAACAGCCTATTTGCCTTTAGTAATGGACCCCCCTAGAATCAGCCTACATTTCAAGAGCTAACATGTTACAAGTAATTCTAGTAGAAAGGACAGTGCTAGTTACAAGTATGATCCATCTGATCCGTTGTTACATGCCAGACTCATTGGATAAAGTTGGTAGTAATTCTAGCAGAAATGGCAATGCTGGTTACAAATCTGATCCATCTGCTACAGTGTTGCACCCCAGGCTGATTGGATATAAAGTTAGTGATTCTAGTTGGAAGGACAGTGCTAGTTACAAATATGATCCTCTACTACATTGTTGCATGCCAGGCTGATTGGATATAAATTTAGTAATTCTAGTAGGAAGGACAATGCTGGTTACAAGTATGATCCATCTACTACATTGTTGTATGCAAAGCAGATTGGATATAAAGTTGGAGTAATTTTAGTAGGAAGGGCAATATTGGTTACAAATATGATCCATTTACTACATTGTTGCATGCCAGGCTGACTGGATATAAAATTAGTAATACTTTTTAGTAGGAAGGACAATGATGGTTACAAATATGATCCATCTGCTACATTGTCATGCCAGGCTGACTGGATATAAAGAGTTAGTATTTCTAGGAGGAAGGACAATTCTGGTTACAAGTATGGTCCATCTACTACATTGTTGTATGTAAAGCAGATTGGATATAAAATTAGTAATACTTTTAGTAGGAAGGACAATGATGGTTACAAATATGATCCATCTGCTACATTGTTGCATGCCAGGCTGACTGGATATAAAGAGTTAGTAATTCTAGGAGGATGGACAAGGATGGTTACAAATATGATCCATCTACTACATTGTTGCATGCCAGGCTGATTGGATTTAAAGTTAGTAGTAATTCTAGGAGGAAGGGACAATTCTGGTTACAAGTATGGTCCATCTACTACATTGTTGCATGCCAGGCTGATTGGATTTAAAGTTGGTAGTAATTCTAGGAGGAAGGGCAATTCTGGTTACAAATATGATCCATCTACTACATTGTTGCATGCCAGGCTGATTGGATTTAAAGTTGGTAGTAATTCTAGGAGGAAGGACAGTTCTGGTTACAAGTATGGTCCATCTACTACATTGTTGCATGCCAGGCTGATTGGATAGATCATCAATGACAGCACATAGGATTTTTTCATTGCCGCAAGCAGAATGGTGCACTTACCGGGTAGGCATCAAAAGACTGGTACTTGTTGGCCATGTCATAGAAGGAGTCCGGGCTGACACTGACCGGGTAGAAGCCCATCGGCTGGCCCGCCGGAGCCGCAGGCACGTTCTTGATGGAGTTGGAGTTGGAGCCGGCCTTCATGACATAGGTGGAGGCTCCATGGAGGAGGCTGGAGCACAGAGTGATCAGGGACAGCAGCATCCTCAGCAGTGCTCGGTGCATGCTCAGCCACCGCAGTCCTAAATCCCGGCAGGAGGAGGAGAGTCTGTCAGCTGGAGAGCTTCTCTGCTAGTTTGTGGAGAGGCTCGGGACTCCTCCGCCTCTACTTATACGGCTCCGATTGTTTGCACACACGCCCCTCACACGGGACAACAAAGGCCAAGGGATGGGATTTCAAAGCCGGAGTTCTGACGCTCCAGCCATGGCTAAATCACAGGGCAGACTGGCAGCCGGGGATTTCACAATCATTGTAATTAGCAATTAATTTTTGGAAGATCACACAGGTCAGCCTGCAGGGGAGGAATTGCAAAAGAACAGAATAGGAAATGGCTCCATCAGTTACATCTTCATACAATGTGTGTGTCTGTCTGTAATAATATAATAATAATAATAATAATAATAAAAAAATATAGATAGAATATTCCAATATACAGTCCAGGGCTTGAAGCAATTAAGTAGTTTAACTTGAAGAAATGTGTTTTACAAATCCACTCTCTGTGACACTCTGGAATCTGTCCTTGTTTCATGTACTGAGAACTACAACTGTGCAGCTCGGATCTCTGCATGTGCTGCTGATGGGACCTCGCCATTGGACCCAGGTGGGATACATCTTCATAGGTATAGTGAGAGAGACATCACTGATCTAGGACTTTATGAAGCAAGATTGCAGTGTAAATGTATATGAGACACTATAATCATGCTTCAGTTACACTGCAACAGCCTTTAGAATGGATATTATGAAATGCTGGAATTTAATATTTCCTAAATGAAAGTACTTGAGGTTTGCAATCATTGGATGATATACATAAAACTCTGTCATTTTGCTTCAATTAAACCACTGGAGGGCTTCAAGTTGGATAGTGTGTATGTCTTCAATTAAAGCACTTAATATCGAGCGCTCGCTCTCACTCCCTCTCTTTCTCTCTCTCCCTCTCCCTCTCTTTCTCTCTCTCCCTCTCCCTCTCTTTCTCCTCTCCCTCTCCCTCTCTCTCTCTCTTCTCTTTCTCCCTCTCCCCTTTCTCCCTCTCCATCTCCCTTTCCCCATCTCCCTTTCCCCCCTCTCTCTTTCTCCCCCCCTCTCTCTCTCTTTTTCCCTCTCTCTCTTTTTCCCTCTCTCTCTCTCCCTCTTTCTCCCTCTCACTCTCTCTCACTCTTTCTCTCCCTCTCACTCTTCCTCTCTCTCCCTCACTCTTTCTCTCTCTCCCTCTCTTTCTCTCTCTCTCTCCCCTCTCTTTCTCTCTCTCCCTCTCTCTTTCTCTCTCTCCCTCTCTCTTTCACTCTCTCTTTCATTATCTCCCTCTCTCTTTCCCGCTTTCTCTCTCCCATCTCTCTCCCTATCTCTCTATCCCCCTCTCCCCCCTCTCTCTCTCTCTCTTTCCCTCTCTCTCTCCCCCATCTCTCTCCCCCCGCTCTCTTCCTCCCCTCTCTCTCCCCCTTCCAATCTCTCTCCACTCTCCCCCCTCTCTTCTCCCCCTCCCCCCATCCTCTCCCTCTCTTTTCTGTCTCTCACTGTCTTATTCTCTCTCTCTCCCTTTCTCCCCATCTCCCCTCTCTCTCTCTCTTTTCTGTCTCTCATTCTCTCACTGTCTTACCCCCCCCCCCTCTCTCTCTCTCTCTCTCTCATTCCCATTCTTTTTTTCTCGCTCTCTCTTTTTCTCGCTCTCTCTTTAACTTGGATTTTCGACGAGGCACAAGCTCATCAAAACATCAAATTAAATCTTCACTGTGCATTCACCTCTCAAAGCCCTTGAGTGCTGCTCTCTCTTTTGGACTGTATGTATACACACACACATATACACACACATAGTTATCGCAATCTTTTTCATAAAGTACTAGGGTGCTTCAACCATTACATATATATTGTGTGTGCATGTATATGAAACACTAATCTTTCTTTCATTAAAATACTGAAGTTCTTCCAACACTGGTGTCTTGTTCTCTCACTTTTCAGCTCTATCTGTTTTTATAATTGTACTTTTATTTGTACTTTATACCTCCTTTGTTATTTGCAAAATTGCCATACGCTTTATAAGCAGCACACACATACAGTAGCTGTGATTCAGTGATGCCAAGATCCACATTTCTAGTCTATAGAATGTAATATAACTCTGCAATCTTCCAGAAAATGTGGATCTTGTTATAGACACACTTGCTAAGACTGTGCAAATCATAAAGTATATACAGGGATCAGTAAGGATTTCTTGCCTTGGTTGATTTTGAGTGTAGGGATCAGGCAGCCACTTGATGACTTTACAGTCATTTTACAATGATATAGGTTTTAGTGGAAATAAAGTGTAAGTAGATATATTTATTTAGCTTTTATACTTAGTGCATGTAGGTCACGTTTTATTTTTATTTCTTGTGTAATATATGATGATGATGATGATGATGATGAAGAAGAGAAGCATTTTGAAAGCGATCTGGAATCTTCCCGAAGCCAGTGATTCCTCAGTACAGATTGAGTATACACAACATAAACTCATAGGGATCCTCTCCATCACTCTGTGTATGACTTGCTCTGCTGTAGCAGAATCCCTTCACCTGGGTACATAAAGGATGTCTTAACTAGTGCTATGTCGGCCACTAGTGGTGACTTTGTAGTAATGCATGTTACTGTGAGTTATCCTCACTGTTGTTATTATATACAGGATTTATATGGCGCCAACAGTTTGCTCAGCGCTTTACAATGTAAAGGGAAACAATACAGCAACGATACAGGTCAATACAAGAGGGTTAGGAGGTCCCTGCTCCTTGGAGCTTACAATCTAAGATTGTTACTTCATATGTCCTCCAATATTTGCAGTATTGAAAAGATGAAGGTGAATACTGATTTAATTGTTTTATGAATTCATATAGCACAGTTAGCAAACCAATTTTCATTGTATTTTCTCTTGTGTCCTTAAATGCAAGATAAAACATGACACTGTGTCTGCCCTGCTGCTGAGGAACTACAAGGCAAAGCATGCCCTGTCATTGAGAGTTTGGAAATCAATACACACTTGGAAAAGAAAGAGCTTTGTTTGTAGATACCCTCTGAGTTTTAATTGGAGGATCATTATAGAGTGATGAAATGTTCTGGATCTGAGGTCTATAATACACAAGTCATTTGACATCAAGGTGGCTCTAGGACACCGCCGGGTTGTTACTGTGGAATGAAGAGAAGATTGGAACGTCTCCATTTAATGTCAACAACATACATACACACAATTGTGTCTATTTATCAGATGCTGAGATGTTTTGCAGAGGTTATTACTTTCTTGAACAAGTCAGGGTTTATTTTGACACTTCAAAAAGCTGTCCTGATGAATTTTTGGCATTCTCTGTCTATAACCTCAAATTTTAGTCATTATCCAGGCACCAGGTTTCATGATCTCTCAGGCCAAGAGAACTGTGCAGTCAACATTATTAGTCCTTGTGTTCAGACAAGGGAGCAGAGTGTTACAAAGCTCAGGATGCCATACACTTCAAAAGATTAAATTACAGTAGCTAATGTATTCTTTCATTTGTCAACATATGTAACAGCAAGACTGTTTGCTGTAATGCCCATTTGATTGAAAGGTCCTTTGCAGCAAATCAAAGATTTCATTGTCTCGCTATTTAATGGGATTATATTGATTATGTCATTAGAATAAAAAGCAGTCACTTGCCCAGCAAATGATATGATCATTTTGGTGTCAGGGCTAGTTCACACTAGATGCAGTTCAGTGTGCTTTTTTTTTCTGCATAAAAAAATGCATGCAGTGTTTTCCATGTATTCCAATGGCTCTAGTTCACACCAGTGCAGTCAGTTCTCAATGCAGAAAAAAAGTAGAACATGCTGCATTTTTTCTACACAGAACCATACTGGAACATAGCAGATTGCATCAAAACTACACTGGAACTGTGTGTGGTGTAAACTGTAAGCAAAAACATATCTGGAATGCAACCTGAGTGCGTTTTTGTTGTGTGAACTGGCCCTCTCACAATATGTAATTGAAGATGTGATCATGTGTATAGTTTTCTCTGTGTCCATGCACAAGGTTATTTAAAGATTAGTGAAATGGACTGCATACAGTTCCCCCACCCTCCCAAAAAAAAAGGAAGAAAAGAAAAGAAAAATTTACATCTGAAGTTCTGTCTATGGGCTGTATGTTACACTGTATACATATAAACATTTGTGCTGACCTGTACAATGCAAATATATTCTATTAGAGTACAAGAGTCATCTTAATAACAGAGGACACTAGGCAACAATAGCTGTCTGCATCAGGGGCGGACTGACCATTTGGAAACTCAGGCACTGCCCGAGGGCCCGGGAGTCAGTAGGGGGCCCATGAGATGCCCCTGGTACCTTTTTCATAGGCTTTTTTGAGTTTGGGCAAGGACACAGGGCCCCCATGATCCCCTATTGCCCAGGGGCCCCATGAGCTGTCAGTCCACCCCTGGTCTGCATCCTAGCAACAGAGAAAGATAGGTGACAATAGCCACCTGTGTCATAACAATGGAGGACATTACAAAGCAATTAGAGAACATTAAAGGATAAGTTCACCTTTTGGACAAAAATAATAAATGCACATTTTTATTCTGGCAAAAAAATGTGCAATTATTATTTTTGTCCAGAGTTGCCTGGAAAGCATTGTACCAGCGATCAGTAGATCACCGATGCCATGCAGGTCTCCTGCAGACCTGTCAGAATATCTGCTTGCTGTACGCTCCACAGCACTGTGGTAGTTCGATGAAAACTACAAGCCCACAGCCAATGGCGGACTGACAACTCACGGGGCCCCCGGGCAATAGGGGACCATGGGGCCCCTGTGTCCTTGCCCACACTCAAAGCACACCCAAAAAAAGCCTGTAAAAGGTACCAAGTGCATTTCATGGGGCCCTCTACTGACCTCAGGCAGTGCCCGAGTGCTCAAATGGTCAGTCCGCCCCTGCCCACAGCCGCTAAGGCTGTCGGGACTTGTAGACACTCATTCACAGAACACTGTGAGTGACACGGCTGTGTGGGCAGAGCCCCACACAGCCGCACTGTTTTCATATCTGACAGATAAAGTACGAGGAAACTTCTCTCCATACTATCTGTC